CTTTAAATAAATAAATAAATAAATAAATAAATAAATAAAATTCATCAAGTCTCACCTCCCAATCTCTTTTCAAACACCCTTACCACTCATTCAGTTTCGGCTTAAAGTGTCCTTAAAAAAAAAAAAAAACCCTCCTAAGTAGTCCATTACCTTTGTTAAGAACTCTAACGTTATTCCTTACATTAAACTAAAGTCATTTCTTCTAATTTTTTTATTTAAATTGGCCAACATATAAGACATCATTAGTTTCAGATGTAGAGTTTCTTATAATTTTCAATCACTGGTCAATTTGTCCCAGTTCTGCCCTCTGGAATGAAGTTTTGTTTTGTTTTTTAAGTAATCTCTACACCCAACTTGGGGCTCAAACCCAGAGATCAAGAGTCGCAGGCTCCACCGACTGAGCCCGCCAGGCACCCCTGCAATGAAGTTTTTTGGTTTTTTTTTTTTTTAAGATTTTATTTATTTGACAGAGACACAGTGAGAGAGGGAACACAAGCAGGGGGAGGGGGAGAAGCAGGCTTCCCACTGAGCAGGGAGCTGGATGCGGGGCTTGATCCCAGGACCCTAGGATTATAACCTGAGCCTAAGGGAGATGCTTAACCAACTGAGCACCCAGGTGCCCCTCTTCTAGTGATTTCCAATGACTCTGTGCCTTTGGTAATTTTGTACTTCTCAGGAGAGATGTAGAGTTTCTTATAATTTTCTTTTTTTTTTTAAAGATTTATTTATTTATTTTGAGAGCGTGAGAATGAGAGAGAGAGAGAGTACATGAGAGGGGGGAGGGTTAGAGGGAGAAGCAGGCCCCTCGCTGAGCAGGGAGCCCGATGCGGAACTCGATCCCGGGACTCCAGGATCATGACCTGAGCCAAAGGCAGTCGCTTAACCAACTGAGCCACCCAGGCGCCCAGTTTCTTATAATTTTCAATCCCTGGTCAACTTGTCCCAGTTCTGTCCTCTGGAATGAAGTTTTGTTTTTTAAGTAATCTCTACACCCAACAAGGAGTGCCCAAAACTGACTTCTTTAGATCTCTGGGGATAATTAAATACCAGTCTGCTCATTTCTGCATCAGTTTCTACTACTGTTTGAACTTTGACGACAGTGAAGAAGTTTCTAATTCAATTCTACTCCAAGATGAACTGATATTGAGTTATACAATATCATTACACAGGCTTCTTTCATAACATGAACATTCCTAACTGCCAAAGTATAATGCAGGAATATCATTTTAGAAAGATTTTATTTTGATCTATTTCTGTAAGTTTCCCCAGACTGGATACTTTGCCATTTAATATGAATACTTCTGTACGAGGTACCTGCTTATTTCAGTAATTAATAATCTTCAGGATCTCCATTCAAAAGACAATGACCTGCTGGTCTCCAATTCCCCAGGTTCAAAAGAAGAGACATTCAACTAATGTGAAAAGGGAAAGAGGTTAGCTAAATAGAATTTCTAGACAACGAAAGTTGCCCAATATTAGAACAGCAGCAGCTCCTTCTCTGAAGTTATTTAAATGCAATTAAATAGGAATTTCTGGTTTAAGAGTTGCTGCCTAAAGACTCTTTCATAAGAACTAGCACTGTAATACGGTATAGCAGTAGAGATTTAAACTGTCCAACGGACATTGCAAAACCCAAGCTCCCAAATCCTGCTACTCAACAGCAGGGATCTAAAGGAATAAATAGATTCCCAGCTGCTGAGAGAAAATGTCTTACTAAAAGCAAAGCAAAATTCTCATTAATGAAAAAATCAACCGTGAAGAAAAAAACTGTCTCATAATCCCTGGAAATAGTCAAATCCATTTTGGGTTAATGGACATTTAACAAAACAGTGGAAGAGAACAGAGCAAAACAGTTCCCTTTGCCAGCAGCTGGGGGAAACACCCATCAGAGAGATCATAAATAACAATGCTTCTAATCCACAGAGCCAAAAGAAACATGAACTCTATCCAGTGAAGGGTACCAGGAAAAGGCTTTTTTTTTTTTACTTTTTTTTCTAAATTTATTTGACAGAGACACAGCGAAAGAGGGAACACAAGCATGGGGAGTGGGAGAGAGAGAGAAGCAGGCTTCCTGAGGAGCAGGGAGCCCGATGCGGGGCTCAATCCCAGGACCCTGGGATCATGACCTGAGCCGAAGGCAGACGCTTAACAACTGAGCCACCCAGGTGCCCCCAGGAAAAGGCTCTTGCAGATAATTTCTCTCTCTCACCATCAAGCCACCTTATCCTACATCTTGTTGAAAACTGATATGATAGGCTGTAACTTAAATTTTCCAAGATCAAATTCAATGACTAATCCAAACCCTGCTTTTTCTAATCAGATAATCTCTAAAATCACAGTACTCGCATGCATTTATTCAAAGCCAGTATTGAGCTTCTGTGTCAGTCACCAAGAATACAAAAACCAGTAAGAAACAGTCTCTACCCTCAGAGAGCTTAATCCATGCACCTTCCCTCATCTTAAACCCCAAAGCTCTTGCTTTAAAATATCTTCTTAGATGGGTCAAGTGTCCTCAATGAAAAAGCAATAAAGGCCCTTTAGCCACTGCAGAAGCTAATAAATAAATATACATATAGGTCACACGACTTATGTTTTGCTCCAAAAGGAGAGAAGACAACACACCTTCCCAAATCGAATATTAGCATAATCTTAGCCTACACTACAAAGAAGCAGGGAACGAGGCAAGCAACAGAAGGTGCAAGCCAAGGAATATAATGGAAGAAGGGACGTGACAGCTGTACCATATTGCGTTCAAACAGCGATAAAAAGAACCTTCTCCTAATCCGCCTGCAGTTTCACCGTGCAGGGAAAAGGAAGAAAAAGGGAGATTGTCCACTGTTGACACCAACTATTCGCGGTTTCTTAGCTAGTCCACTCTCACTACAAAAGAGCCCCAGTCACTGTTTAATAGTATCTGGGCCTGCCAGCCAACAGCTCTGTCACATGGCCACCGAAATGGAGAGGTTAACAGTCCCTCACAGGAGAGTGAGGAAAAACAAGAGTAGAAAGAACCTCTTTAAATGTTTATAAATGAGTTAACATAATCGCCCCCCGAGGCACGGACGGGAAGTGAAGTTTGGAAAAGGTGGTAACCCCAAGCCCACTGGAAACATGTGGAGACCCCTCGACGACCCCCGCCCCCCTTCCCCCCGAGTCCACACACTCACCGCGTACACAGAGCAGCGACATGGCCGAGGCACCGGCGAGCCTCCGCCGTACCCCAGCCGCGCCGCCGCACCCGGCCGCTCCCTCTTTCCTCTCAGCAGGTGCCGCGGCTGCTCCCGCTATCGGCCCCACAGGTCTGACGGCTCCTCATGGTCCCCGTGGCAGGCAGCGTCCCGCCGCTCCCTGGGACCCGCTTCAATTCTCACTGTCTGACTGGGCTCCCAATAGCTGTGAATACGGGCTGGCAGGCAGGAGACTGGGCGCGGCACCGCGGCGCCATCGCTGGGAGGTAGGAGCTACCGGGACCACCCCCCTCCTTTCGCTTCCCGGGAATCCCGGCGAGCGTCTGGAAGGAGCCACCCGTGGCGCTCCGCCTCCCAGCCAATCAACTCACGCCCAGTCCTCCGACCCCGCCTCCCATAAGCACGTAAGAGGCGGGGTTTCCTTCTCTTTCCTTACGTGCAAGAATGAAGGCAGCTCCGCCCACTAATAAATCTTGGAACAGAGTGGGAGGGGCTTTCCCTCAAGAGTGTGAGGAGGTAACTGAAACCCTCTGCTCCTCCCACCCAAGAAGATTCTTTCCATTGAAGAATTTCCTTCCGACTTCTTAGTCTATCCATTACGGCTGATGGACCTTCTATCTGGAATAATTTAACAAGATCGTACCACAAGGCAAGCATATTTTAGTTAGCAACTACAGCAAAAAAAAGTAAAATAACTGAGTGAGCATACAGTAAAATGTTTGGAGACTTCAGTTCTTATCTAGACATTTTTTTCTTGCACGCCATTGTATCTCCAATGGCTATAATAGTACCTGGTATAGGGCGCCTGGGTGGTTAAGCAACTGCCTTCGGTTCAGGTTATGATCCTGGAGTCCCGGGATCGAGTCCCGCATCGGGCTCCCTGCTCAGCAGGGAGTCTGCTTCTCCCTCTGACCCTCTTCCCTCTCATGCTCTCTCATGCTCTCTCTCAAATAAATAAATAAAATCTTAAAAAAAAAATAGTACCTGGTATATAGAAATCAGTCCGTAAATATTTACTGAATGAAGGATAGAGGGAAGATAGGTCTTTTAAGCTAGGACTTCTGGTAAAATGACAAATGAACATGTGAGGATATGAAAAAGACCGAAGCAGAATACAGGAAGACACAGAGTATAAAGTACAGGTCCAACAGCCCTTCCACACCACAGTTCTAATTTAATTGGTGGGGGGGGTAAAGCTCAGGGATTCTATATTTTAAAAGCTCCCCAGGAGGGGCGCCTGGGTGGCTCAGTCGTTGGGCATCTGCCTTTGGCTTGGGTCATGATCCCAGGGTCCGCTCTGCGGGAGGCCTGCTTCTCCCTCTCCCATCCCCCCTTCTTGTGTTCCCCCTCTCGCTGTCTCTCTCTGTCAAATAAATAAAATAAAATCTTTAATAAATAAATAAAAATAAAAAATAAAAGCTCCCCAGGTGATTCTAATGTGATGCCAGGGCTGAGCACTATTAGAGGAGATGCTTTCCAAGGCCTCATTAGCCCAACTCAGATTTCAGCATTTGCAAACTCTTAGCCCCATGGCATTCTGCCTGCCAGCCGGAGGGAGGGTCTGTCAATCTAAAAGGGTCTTTGCAGGCCCCTGGGTGGCTCAGATGGTTAAGCGTCTGCCTTCGGCTCAGGTCACGATCCCAGAGTCCTGGGATCGAGTCCCACATCAGGCTCCCTGCTAATACCCTGAGGAAGATTTTGACCAAGTCAACTGAGCCAGCCTAGTCAACAGAGATGCTGACCCTAAAAATAATGGGCATTCTCTGGACTGCTGGAGGTTGGGCCACCTAGCTATTTAGCCCAGCTGTCCTTTATAAAATTGAGGCGAGCATGAACTTTGAAGCCAATCAGATCCACCTGGTGTATTATCTATTGTGTAATAAATTACTCCAAAACTCAGTGGCTTAAAACAACATTTATTATCTCACAGTTTCTGTGGGTCAGGAATCTGAGTATAGCTTGATTGGATCCTCTGGCTCAGGGTTTTTTACAGACTGCTATCAAAGTGCCAGCTTGACGGCAAAAGCATCCACTTCCAAGCTCACATACGTAATTGTGGGCAGGGCTCAATTCCTCCTAGACTGTTGGACTGAAAGCCCCGGTTCCTTATTGGCTATTGGCTGGTCTCAGTTCCTTATCATTGGGCCTTTCCAACATGGCTGCTTGCTTCATCAAAGCCTGCAAGCTGAGAAGGCAATAAAGTCTGTTAGCAAAATGGGAGTCACAATCTTTTTTAACCTAATCGTGGAAGTGACATCCCTCATTTTTGCTGTATTCTATGCTTCAGGAGCAAGTCACATTCAAGGGAAGAGGATTACACAAGGACATGAATACCACCAGACAACCATCATTGGGAAACCATCCTAGAAATCTGCCTGCCACCTGGATTTGAGTTCTAATTCTGATACTTTGACCTTGGGCAAGCTACATGGCCTCAATTTCCCAAAGAATAATAATAGTAACTACTTCATAAGATGATTTTGAAGTTTAAATGAGGAACTGCGTCTAAATTACCTAGTACGGGGCGCCTGGGTGGCTCAGTCGTTAAGCGTCTGCCTTCGGCTCAGGTCATGATCCCAGGGTCCTGGGATGGAGCCCCGCGTCGGACTCCCTGCTCAGCGGGAAGCCTGCTTCTCCCTCTCCCACTCCCCCTGCTTGTGTTCCCTTTCTCACTGTCTCTCTGTCAAATAAAAATCTTTAAAATAAAAAAAATAATAAATTACCTAGTACATACAAAAATGCCCAATACATGTTTGTTGTTACTTAGATTGTGGACATGAAGGGAGGAATGTGACTGGGAAGTAAAGGGAAGGTAAGCAGAGCAAGAGTCTAAAGGTTGTGATGTAAACTCGGAAGCATCCCAGTTTCCCAGTTAAAAGTTCAGAGGAAGGACGCCTGGTTGGCTCAGTCAGTTAAGCATCTGCCTTTGTCTCAGGTCATGATCCCGGGGTCCTGGGATGGAGCCCCACATAGGGCTCCCGACTCAGTGAAGAGCCTGCTTCTCCCTCTCCCTCTGCCTCTCCCCCGCTCCTGCTTTCTCTCTCAAATAAATAAAATCTTAAAAAAAAAGTTCAGAGGAAAAACGCAATGATGTCTTTCTTCTGCCCTCTAGGCCCTTGACCGGCACCAGTTATACTCATTAGCAAGATAAATGTATCTTCAGAAGCAACTCAAACCGGGACAGGAAACCAATCCTCCATGCCCCACAGTCTTCTTTAGTTTTTCCAGTACAGTACTTGAAAGTTCTTCAGCATTTGAATGGAATTCATACTTAAGATTTACCTGGCAGATAGCTGAGAGCTAGGACTCTGAAATCCAGGGAATGAGAAGGAAGGTGGGAGGGATCAAGGAAAGTAGGTAGTGAAGAGAACCCAAGAATCTCAAGAGGTTAAGACCAAAATACCTAGGTTTAGCTCTGTTGCTGCCTTTTTTGGGAGCCCTCAGGTAAGAAAGAAGGGGTCCAGGTTAGAACCCTGATGCAGGGGAACCCTCTACCAACTTTATGACTATCTGTAAGCCATGCTCCAGGGCCATTAAAAGTTTACTCTTCCGGCAAGTTCCCTGTCTCTTGGGAAATATCTCCCAATGCCTAAAGAGAAATTTAGTATAAATAACTAATTAACAAATATTTATTAGGTATCCTTTATGTCAGTCTTAATGAGAGGATGCAAAAACAAACAAAGCAGTTAATACCCGTAAAAAGTATACAAGTTGATAGGAAAAATCTGTGAAAGAACGAGGAACTAAACTAGGACAGTGAAATATGGAACTGAGGGGGAAGAAAAAGGACAATCCCTTTAACACTTCTCAGTGTTAAGGAACTAATGTGATAGAACTTGGCACACAGTAACTATGAGTATAGTAGAGAATAAGAACATCCTCTCTTTATAGCAAACCACTGGAGGGAGAGAGAGTTTTAAAGTCAGGTTGACTGAAAGGATGATGCTACAGTCTACTGATAGATAGGAAACCAAGGATGCATAGGTTTGGGGAGAAAGATGTTTCCTTTTGGACATATACATTAAATTTGAGATTGTCAGGTATATTCTTGCATATGTACCCAATAGACAGATGATGTGGACTTGAACCCTAAGAAAGCAGTCCAAGCTAGAGCTAGAGCTTCCGATCAATAAAGATATAACTATTTTATTTTATTTTATTTTTTTAAAGATTTTATTTATTAGAGAGAGAGAGAATAAGAGATAGCACGAGAGGGAAGAGGGTCAGAGGGAGAAGCAGACTCCCTGCTCAGCAGGGAGCCCGGGGACTCCAGGATCATGACTTGAGCCAAAGGCAGTCGCTTAACCAACTGAGCCACCCAGGCACCTAAGATATAACTATTTTAATCCCCATTTTTTGATAAGAAAATTAAGCAAAACTAGAATGCAAACCCAACTGTATCTTTCACCAGAGCTCAGTTAGCCACAGTGCTATATTGCCTCTTAAGTACCGGAGGAATTCAGCAGAAACTAGGGGAGGAATCAAGATAGGCTTCACGAGAGAAAAGTAACGTGTGGAGGAGATGGATCTCAAAGTATGGATAGCACTGAACATGCAAATATGGGAGAAAGGGTATTTCATATACAGAGAATAAGTTGAATGAACAAATCAAGAAATGGAAACATTGAACCTGTACAGGTATTTAAGAGTAAGCTGAAAAGAGTTTAAGAGTTGGAGTCCTACAGTTGCCAGGAGACTACATAGAATCAGAAGGGAACAAAGGTCATTTATAGAGAACACATACTTTTTTTTTTTACTGAATACACAACCTTTTATTTTTCTTCAAATTTGGAGTTTTTTAATTATACAAAGATGAGAAGTCAAGTTTTGTAACCTAAAAATATTTACTTATTAAAACTATATTAATACTTTCATAAACTATACAAAATGATGTGGGGAAAAGAGCCCGAAAAGAAATGGTCAGAGAGGGAAAGCAAGAAAATAAGCAAACCACCCGATTATTGTTCCATTATAGATCTTATCTTATTGAAAAGTAATTGCATATCTATCCTTTCTTTAGACTCAGAGCTCCTCAACAACAAAGGACCTGTTTTCTATATCGTTATCCCTAACACATAACATAACATCTGGTAATAGTGCCCAGAAAAGATTTGTTGACTAATTGAATACATGAATGAATTAATGAATGAGAATGTTTTAAGGCTTGGTTATTGTCAAAGATAAACAAAGCTGGATATTAGTCAAAGTGATTAGGACAGATTTTAATCAGCAATATACTATTGCAATAGGGAAAATAGTCTAGCACAAACTG